GACACAGGGCCATGTACATCCCACAATGTCTCCCTGATGCTCCGACCAAGCTAAGAAAACGAGGTCAAGCTAGCACTATAGCTAAAGGAGACCGTGACCAAGCACAACACCTTGGCCTTCATATCTAAGTTACTCTGTGATGTTGGTCTGGATTACTTGTTGGTTTATTTAGCCTTCAAGATAATGCCCAAAATCCAGCATCTCTCATAGTCTGAGCCCAAGGGTCACTTATCTTTTATTTGATGACCTCGCATCTAGGATTCTTAGTTTTTTACACATTTATTAATGTCAACTCTTTATTTTTCCCAGGTCAATGGACATGCGAGCTCACGCACCTGATGACCTGGCTGTAAATATTTTCAAACCTGACGAGTGAGTTGCCTTTTGATTTGCTTACTATTCACTCAAGACTGGTAAATGACCGAGATTTGGTGGCCTACTGTGCTAGATCGAGGAAAGAATAATTTTTAACATTTTCCCTAATCTGAATATTATTTCGCTAGAAGCAAAATATCAAATCGACAAGCACGAAAATTAGTATGGCTCATGTCTGGACGAAGGCCGACAACAGCCGAGCTAAAAGTATTCATAGTATGTGTCCCGATCTTCATCTTCATTTCAGTCATTAGTTATTGCGTGTCCAAAATGTTGGAATTTTTTAAATAGTTCTTGTTCTTATTGTCACTGCACTACTTGGCCCCAGAGGAATTCATTGCTTCAAACTGTATTGATGGAGCCTCATCTTATAGGTAGCTGGCTCAGATGACCCATGGCTTGGTATTAAGGTTACGAGGTATACGATTATTAAGGTGTAACAAGTTTAAAAATAATGGACTGATGGCCTCATTATTGCAAGTCGTAACCTCTAAAATGTCTACCAAGACTCGACAGTAATTTTATCCCTGTCCTCTTTTTCACTTATACTACGCTTCGCCCTCAGTCCGATCACATTTGCCTGGCAAGGAGGTGCGATGTTGGCCAATCGAAAGGCGGAATTTAACAAATTTCTGGTCACTCGAAAGGAGTACGAAGAGGCTGGTCATAGTCTCTGCCAAAAGCGATTTCTTGTAATTTAGTGCGCGGATGCAGTATCGATGCGCTTTATGTACAGCATTGTCATTTTTAAATACACACATGACACCTACCATAACATGATCCCTCCCTCGTATTTATATTTTTCTGTTAAAAAGTCTATGGCGAAGAATTTTTAAAACTTGAAGTTTATTTCGTAATGCGCTTTCAAGCATTTCGGAGAAAGGGCGAAGAGGTCGAAATCGCTGGGATCCAGGGAGGCGATTAGTTAAGAAGGGGTAGAAAGGAGACTCGGCAATGCTCAGATCAAAATAAACCGATCAGCAGGGGGCCGCAAGAAGTGAAGAACTAAAGATGAGTGAATAAAGTTTGAAGATGTGGCAAAATTGTATGAACTGCATTAGCTCAGTTCGTTAGGGAGATCCTCGCCAGGAAAGGTATGGAGATGATTGTTGTGGAATCCACTTGTTGCTCTAGGTGCAATAAGAATACAGTAAATGAAGGAGCATATTTGCAAATCACCATTTATTCCTCTGGCTAACTCGTCAAATTCAACTTCAAACTGATCATTCGATGCATACTATGATGTGCTGCATTAAGAAGGATGAAAAATAAAAAAAAGAGGAAGGCCAAACGCTCATAGTTGTTGCGACCTTTACTCAGGTCCGATGGAGTCGTTTTCAGCATATTTGGAGGGAGTTGTCTTCAAATAGGCGTACAAGGTCTAAGTATTAACGCTGGAGCCTATCTGTTACTCTTGGACCCAACAGCACGTCACTTGTTCATTAAATTAGTTCATCTGCCTCGCCTAAGCCCCAAATGAATGGGGCTCGCAGACTGCTAACAGAAGTAACCTACACTGATGTGTTGTGTAAATCCTTCCGCAGGAGGCGTCCAGCCAGGCGGGGCTTGCTATGAACGGCACTGCCTATCAAGCCGAAGAGCTATACGATTCACATGAATCATGTACATGATAGGCAACCGAGGCATCGTCGTATGCTTGCCGGATGAAAGCAGTGGCACTTGTTAGCGTGCATGTGCGTCTGAGAGCAGTAAAGACGCATTGGCTCACCAACTGTAAAATGAATGAGTGAAGTTATTACAGATTTTTCTGCACAGAACAGCATGAAAAACAACATGAAGTAACAAAAATGTGATGCCAAGTTATGGGATTCACAAAATAAGAGAAAACGTGTTCATGCTTGCGGCTCACGGCCATTATTGCACTTTCAAGCCAAAGAAATGAATGGGA